CATAGTTCAGCGAGTTAAGCGACAACGGGTACGCTGACAAGACCATCTCATGTCTATATGGGCGACAACATTCCACCTTTGAAAGTTTTTGACCCAGCCGCCGACGGTGTAAGCTGAGGAAGAGAAAGACCCCGAATCCGCTGGAAATACCAATTGGCTAAGGACCAGAGTTCACTTGGTGTCTCGAGTTGGGGGGCGAATTGCGAAGAAAGTAATCGGCTGTCGCGCTGACATTGGTTCGTTTTTTTACATTAAACTTCTAGATTCGTCACTTTTGGCGCTTTCCGGTAAAATTATAAACGTCCTCGAATTATTCGTGTTTCACATAAAAATTCAAGTTGATCGTGATCGGAATGGATATCAAGTATGACAAGGGAGAACGATTACCCAATAGGGAGGGGTTTAACGATTTTCGTGCGGTAAGAGGCTAGACTAAAAACCAAAAGTTCACCCGACGAAACGATCCGGACTTGCAACCGGCCAACAACATTCTCTAAGAAAAACTACTTCCGAGGAATATTTTTGCGGCTACAACTACATCACCACCCAATCGAAAAGCCAATTAAGTGCAGTGAAAACCTAGCGTAATAACGGTCAAGATTTTCTAAAGTTTCATAAGAGAGCTGAATAATGAATGGTAGGGTGGTAATAACTCCGTTTCATCCTAATAAGAGTGGTGAGCTCATGGTCACTGATACATTCAATCACTGATTTGTTGCATTAAATCACCATAAATGGAGAGTATACATACATATGTTATTGAAACATTGAATCTACCACATTTGAATATTGAGTTTGTACAAATAGTGTTGTATTGAACAGTTATTTAATTGTATACATATCGCATAAGTACATATACGTATACATATATACAAAATGAAAGGTATATTTGTATGTATATTACTGTAGTTGTTGTGTAGATTTATTTATGTTAATTTTTATCATTTTCTTTTAGTTCCGGCGTTGAATTATTTTACCAAATTTTGAATTTCAAAAATGTTTAATATTAAAAAGCTCCTTGTAAGTTTAAATATTTATGTTAAAATAAAATGTATACTGTAGCTTTTCAATGAGTTTAATATAAGTATGTGTGTATTGTATTTTTAAAAGTATTCTCTTATTTTTTTCTTTATAAAGCTCTACATGCAACTAACTTTGGCTGCTTCACTGCTTCTTGCCTTAGTTTTCAAGTTTTTTTTGTTTAGTTCGTGTAAAAATATGCAAATATTGACTTAGCAAAGTAAATTTACATTCTTATTTATTTATTTATTTATTTATTTATTATACATATATTCACTTTTGTTATTTTATATATATATATGTATGTATGTAGTTTAGGCATTTCAAAAAGTGGACGCTGATTGATTTTTTTTTTTAATTTTTTTTGTCATTTGGCTAGGCTTGAATTGCATTTTATGTGTGTATGTATGTATGTAGATTGCAGAAATATGCATATGTAAGTTAATATATAATATTTTTTGTTTTACTTTTAATTGGTGTATGCCCACAAGCATTTGTTAATCAAATGCATATATCGTAAATGTCTCATATACACATATATACGAGTCATAGGTAATTATTTATACGGCGGTGAGTTCTTGTGACGGTAACGGTGCAAGTGACGGTGCTTTTGTGTTAAGTTTAATTGTATTTTAGTATTTAAGGAATTCTCTGTTGTTGTTACTGTGTGAAAAATTTTTATGATTTCAAATATATTTTTTAAGCAAAGAACGGCTGAAAGCGTTTATGAACAAAGAATTTTCTTTTTATTTTGATTTTTTTTTTTTTGTAAAAACAATAACAAAAATACATTGCAACTGTCATCCGTATGCTTTTTACGAAAAAAAAAAATTTCTATAAATCCTTGCTGTAGTTTTTTTTTTCATTTTATATTACATTATTGACATACACTTGTATGTATATTTATGTTTCACTTACGTATGTATTTATGTATCTTTAAGATGTTTTGCTGCTGTGCGAAAACACAACACTCACAATTGTAGGCACGATAAACGTTACTAAATAATCAAACGTTAATTCTAAAATTTCACATACATGAAATTGAATTATTACTTTATTTTCTTTAAACAGTTATGAATTGCATTACATGCTCCAGTGGTGTTATGCATTTTCCTGTTTTCCATTTAATTATATTTTACAAAAGGCGTAACGCCTATGAATAAAACATAGCAGTTAGTGGATTATCGTGATACTAAATTCCGATTAACTACAAACTCTGTGTATACATATGTATGTAATGTAGAAAATATGGTATTAGAACCTCAAGCGACAAGCAAAACAAAAAATAAACACGTTTTTTCTTTAAATAAATTATATAAGTAACCGCCGAGTTCATCTTCCAATTTGTGGCATTGCGTCTCGATGTTTTTCCAAACAAAGTGGCGGAACCTACAGTTCATTTTAAGCCGGCTCTGAACCAGCAATGCATTTCTATATGGAGCTTTATTACATGCAAGAAATACCACTCGGAGGGCTTCACATTATTCAAATTTGTTTTCCATTTATTTTAAAATATTTGCATGTGTTCTACTGCTTTAATTTTAATTTTTTATATTTACTTTATTTTAATTTTCTATTTTAATTTTTTATTTTTTCTCTTTTATTTTTTTTATTTATTCCTTTTTTCTCTTTTATTTTTTTCATTTATTCCTTTTTTTATTTTTTCATTTTCATTTTGTTTTGTTCCATTTTACTTTGTTTTGTTTAGTTTCATTTTAATTTGCTTTATTTTTTTCATTTCGTTTCTTTTCAATTAATTATATTTCATTTTATATTAGTTTATCTCATTTTATTTTGTTTTATCTCATTTTATTTTGTTTTATCTTATTTTATTTTTTATTTTGTTTAACTTTATTTCATTTTATTTGGTTTTAATTTCTTTTTGTAATACTATTTTTTATTTTGAATTAATTAATTTTAAAATATCTTATTTTGTTTATTTTTTTTTTAATTAATGTATTTTATTTTTTTCATTTTGTTTTACTTTATTTTTATATATTTTTATTTCATTTTTATTTTATTTTTACTTTATTTTCATTTTATTTTATTTTTATTTTATTTTTATTTTATTTTTATTTAATTTTATTTTTATTTCATTTTTATTTTATTTTATTTTTTTTTTATTTTATTTTATTTTTATTTAATTTTTTTATTTTGATTTACTTTAATTTAATTTTTATTTTCCTTTTTTTATTTAATTTATATCATATTATTTTAATGCAATTTATTATATTTTGCTTTTGAATTCTTAGTTTAGTCGTTTTATTTGATATTACTTTGTTTAGTTTTATTTATTTTTCGTTTTTGTATTCTATTTTTTATTTATTTTATTTTTTTGTTTTATTTAGTATAATTTTCTATTTTATTTTAATTTTATTTTTTATTTTACTTTGTTTTATTTAATTTTTGTTATTTTTACATTTTATTTTTATTAATTTTATTTTTATTTTTATTTTTATTTTTAACTTTATTCTTTTATTTTGTTTTATTTAATTTTATTTTGTTTCATTTAATTTTATTTTTTTTTTTCATTTAATTCTTTTTTGTTTTATTTAGTTTAATTTTTTATTTTATTTTAATTTATTTATTTTTTTTATTTTAATTTAATTTTATTTGTACCTTATTTTTTATAGTTTATTTTATGTTACATATTTTGTTATATTTTTATACTATATTTTATATTTTAGTTTATTTTATTTTTGCTGTATTTTGTTTTATTTCATTTTGTTTTGTTGTTTTAGTTCCATTTTTAATATTATTTTGTTTTATTTATTTATTTTATTTTTTTTTTTATTGTTATTATTTTTATTTTTTTTATCGCTATTATATTTATTTTTTTTATTGCTATTATATTTATTTTTTTTATTGTTATTATTTTCATTTTTTTTTGTGTTCTGTTATTTAATTTTTTTTGTATTCTATATCTTTTATTTAAATTATTTTTTTTTTATTTATTTTTTTTTTGTTATTTATTTATTTATTTTATTTTAGTTTTTTTTTATTCTGTCTTTCTTTTTTTGAATGTATTTTAGGTTTTTTATTCTAGTATATTTATTTCATTTGAACTTGTTTTGTTTTTGTTTTAATTTTACTATATCTCATTTTATTTTATGTCTTTCTAATTTATTTTTATTTTATTATTATTATTGGTTTAATTTAGGCATTTTATTTTCTTTTCTTCTATTGACTTTAGGAATTTTTTGTTATATTTTTTTTCCGGTGATCTAATATTTCTAAATTTTGGTTTTTTAAATTTGTATAAGCATATTTCCTATCGACTGCAACTTAGTTTGGTTATTTATTATGCCCCTCGTATCTCATGAATGCACTTATGCACTTACGTATAAAAAATAACGGGCAATTATTGCTTATGATTGAACATTTTACGCTCTGCCTTTATTTTATTCACTTTTTCTTGTTTATTTTACTTTCTATATGTATTTCCATAATTATTATTTAATACACTTTACATAATCAATCGATATTTTTCTTAATTATAGTCACATATGCATGTGTGTATGTATATAAGTATTCTATTACAATATTTAATGATTTCTTATGAGTTCTACCCAAATTGCTAAACAATTATCATATCATATTTAAAATACTCTAATGCATGTCTGTGAGTATGCAAATGCTTTTTACACTTGTATATGTGTTTGTTTTATGTAATGTAATATTTTTATAGTTACTGCAATACTCATATATATATTTTTTTCTTATTTATCAAATTGAAGGCGTAAAATATGTTGACTACTACATATACATATATAAAAAGCTTTACTAAACATTGCAATTGGTCAATAGCGACATTTACAACATAAGTGTGAACAGCAAACGCAAGACAATAACAATATAAAACTGCTGATGCATGAACCTAATCGTAGAGACATGGAAATTGGTTTCACTAAAAAAATAAAAGCTTTTTAAAGTCCCTAAACAACAAAATATTTATGACTAACATTTATGCAAAGCGCTACTGATTTTTTATATTTTTTATTTTATCTTAAGAACCTTTCCTTTTACTACATAGTTCGGGATTTGTTATATTATTATATTTTTCTTAATTTTCACCTTTAATGGTTTCTTTTTTGATATATTAGTACTTTCTCTCTCAGCAATGAAGCAACAGCTGACCTGAGCTGCTGTAACAATAATCACTTTCACACAATTCGCATACCATTTTGCTACTATGCTTGTCTACCAAATTTCGTACTACCATCGGTCTCCACTAATAACATCGTTAAATGGCAATTAATACATTAGAAATAACAGGGTAGCCCATTAACTTTCAGCCGGTTGATTTGTTGTAAATTCAGTTATGCCATCTTTAACCATATTCTCTAGTATATCAGTTACATAGGCAGCTACATCGGTATGACTGCGCTGACCGCGTAATATAAATGGCATTTCCAACAATGGACCATATTTGGGTCGTTCTCTCTCGTCTTTGTTCAAACTGTGTTAAGCAATGAAATTTGTCATTATTAAGTGTGTTGCTGGTTTGTTTAAAATCTTTCTTACCAAGTATTCACAAAATCTACGAATTCCTGTGAGAACTCCATACCCTTGTAGGATGTTTGTAGACGTGGCGGATCGCCCTTTACCACCTAAGAAGCAAAAAAAAAACAATCATTTAAAATGTGTAAATGATAAATTTATCGTTTCCTAAATATGCCGGTATCTTTTAAAGTAGATTACAGAAATTAATAAAATTGGTACACCCCGTGTCCCTTCACAATTACCTGATACAATTGCTCGAACACTGAATCCCATTTGGGATATGGGAATAACCCAGTTGCTACCTCCATCAGCGTTATTCCCAACGACCATACGTCGCTCCGTACATCGTATCCCTTTGCGCGTTCTGGATCAATACGTTCCGGCTGTAAGGTAAATAAAATTATTGAAAATATAGAAAAAATTGATATAAAAACGATTTCGACTCCTCAAAATCTTCTTAAACTCACCGCCATATATGGCCGGCATCCTGCATCTTTGGTCTCTGCAATGGAATCCACTAATTTACCGCAAATACCGAAATCACATAGCTTAATATCGCCGCGACGATGCAGCAATATATTGCTGGGTTTTACATCACGATGAATAATCGATAATTCCTCTTTCAAATAGTTTAACGCCTGCACGGTAGCCACGGTTATTTTTGTTAATATCGATTCGGGTATACGTTGCTGTTTACGTTCGTAAATGTATTTGTAAAATTTATCGAGCGAGGTATCCATCAACTCCATGCATATCCAACAATCACCCTCTTTGAAGAGTGCGCCATAAAACTGTACTATATAGGGACATTCATTTGAATTCATTACAACTTCCAAATCCATAAGTAGTTGCTTTTGTTCCTTCTCATCGACCGTCGATCGTATACGTTTCACAGCCATCACTTTGCCAACCTTAAATATCATCTTGTTGACCGTGCCAAAAGCTCCACGACCGATTTCTCCAACATCGGTTAAATCGTCAGAAGTAAAATGATAAAATTCCTCATCAATTAATAGCTTTCCGCAAGCTTGTTGTTTAATGCGTTCACGCGTACGTTCTATTTGAGTAGAAAATAATCAGAGAAAGTAGATTTTTTAAAATTTTCATTTAAAATGTAATATTTTTATTTTAGACACAAAAAAATGAAATGAAATTATGATGTTTTTATTCACCTTGATTATTTGTTGTTGGAGCCGGCACAGCTACTGGTGCCACAACGGGTGCTGGCTGCGGTGGTGCACAGAAACGCTGTACCAAATTATGTGAAGAGGAACTCGAGGCAGACGATGTAGACAAATTGGACGAAGCTGAACCAGATGATGTTGATGAAAATGATGGCGGTTGACGCCCATTAAAAGTACCCAAATTCAATTCACTTGGCGGATTGCGAGGACGACTGCTCCCAGCTATTTTGGTTAGTTCAAAGAATAAGATCTATTAATTCCCTGAAATATATTAAAACTTACCCGTGAAAAGATTGCTTGGACGTTCTGTCATATTATATTTTTTTACCACCTCAACGTATAGTAAGCTTCGGCGCCTTTAAACCAAATCGTATGTCTAGTAATGTATGTATAGTGGTTACTTAGGTATGCAAAATTTTTATTTGCTTTTCTCCTCGCCGGATAGAAAGTTCTAAGATCTCAGTTAGCAACAAATAAAGAAGTTTATCTACTGGTAAAGGTACCGATCCTTGTCGATTTTTCCACAAACACCGAAATGCCAAAGGAACAACAAAGTACAATTACACACAACGGCAGCAAGAAATATGACTATCAGTCATGCAGTTGTCAATCTCGGCCACGACTCAATTTCCAAAAATATTTCTGTATTTCTCGTTGCTCGCTGTTGAAATTTATATAACACGCGTATTGCGTGTAAAAACGTTAATAAACTACAGTACAGATATTAAATTTACGCCTTAAACACCAGTGCATAAAAATTTAACGTACGATACAGAACTTGTAAAAGTTTATAAGTTTTTTGGATGAATCTACCGAAAATAAGTTAAAAGGAAATGTCAAAACCGAGAGTTGCATTTGTTTCGGCTTAGATTGTCAAATAAGAAAATGTTCCCACGAGGGTCAGAAATAAACTCAGCGTCTAACACTTGTGGTTACTCAACTTACGGTTCATTCCACAGATCGACTTATAATTACATAAGCACTAAGTATATGGGAAAAATTTTATATTCCACCATTTTACATTACCACGTTAAACATTAAGTGTTCTATGCAGTGCCAAGATACTTTGTGACGAAACTAATTTTCTGGTAAAGTCAAATGTTTCAGACAGTGCTCATATTTGAAAGGCAACACAAAATAAATTATTAATTTATGAAAAACTTAACAAACATTCTATATCATATTAAATAATTTATTAACTTCTTACAGTACTCGAATATATAAGAAGAGAAAACACAGAAACACTATTCTTAATGTTTAATTTTGAATAATTTTTTTTTTTGTAGCAGGATGTTGCGGTTGCAACGCAAAAGTTTTCTGTAAGTCATTTTTTAAATATTGCGAGACTAACCGTCTCAATTCAAATAAAACATTAGGACCCGACAGTCATGCTTTACTGTGGATAACATTTTTAATCTTTATTCCCCCTCTTGTTGTTGTTGTAACCGCAAAGCTCTTGGCCGGATAAAAATGCAGGTCGTTCCGTTCGCGGGAAGTATTGGACTTTAGTCGCCTCTTACTAAAGGCATGTCTTACCGCAAGTAAATTCTTGAGCCCCTAACCCGCAAGGGAAATCCTATAGTACTATGTTGGAAGAGATTTTCCATAGTTTCTCACTTGGGAACACTTTTCAGTGAGCTCTTCTGGCTGAATTCTCAATAGTCCGGGAGCACGGCAACAAATCGTGGAAATCTATTGTGAATGTTAACTTTCATAAATAAGAGTTTGTTCGTTCTACAATCACTGAGTTGTGAACGAAAAATTATTCGGGAAAAGTGCTCTTCTGCTTACATTTTGTTTGTAAACAATATTTTTATACTTCATCAAATGGAATGGCCAACAGAGAAGTTATTACGACTAATAGATCTATTTAAAAGTAAGCGCTGCCTTTGGGATCCACAGGATAAAAATTATAAGAAAAGCATTATTAAAGACAAATCTTGGAATCAGATTAGCGATGAATTGGGAGGAAATGCCATTGAGACGAAGAAAAAAATGGAATCCCTGCTGGCTTCATATCGTCGGGAGCGTAAGAAATATGAATTGGCGCTCGGTGGTTCCAATCCGGACAAGATGTATATATCAAAGTGGTTCGCTTTCAAGGCGATGAGCTTCATGGCCAACAGATCATTCGAAAGGAAACATCTATTTGATGTAAGGCTCAAATCTAAATAACTATGTTATGTGACAAAAAAAAAATTGTTTTCTTATAGCGTCAAGATCCTTTGGACGATATTACAGAACAAGATAGTAGACATAGTCAAGACGTTTATGGGTCCAAACAGGATAGTGAAGAATCTGCACAAAAGAGTTTATTATCTCAGAACCTGACCTCACCATCAAGTAAAGAAGCTGAGTGTAAACACAAATGTTGCCCGCACACAGGTCCCACGATAAATACTAGACGAGATGACAGCGACATCTTTGGGGAGTATGTGTCTACAAAGCATCGAAAATACAGTGATCATGTAAAAAGTGTTGTGGAAAATCATATAGCACAAATTTTATTCGATGCAGATATGGGTCTGTATAATCCCGGTACAACAACAACGCTTACAATTTCTGCAAGACCTCCCTTAATTGAAACGATTAGAGCAGAATCGCCAGAAATTATTTATGAAAAATAGTTATTTATTATTTACAGAAATCTATTATTATACGAATATTATTACTTCTCTATTTATATTAAATTTTCATACGAGTTAAATCGAGTTGTTGCATATTGTTTTTTAATTGTATAGAAAGAGACTTGAGTGTGTTCGTTGTTTTATACATATAATTATGTAATAAAAAAATTATTTTACTACTTGTATATCATAAGAAAAAGGTTGACGGTTAATGAGAACCTAAAAAATTGGTTTTGTAATATTTTGAAATCTGTGTCGCACTTTTATATTGTAATTAAGATGATGTTTGTAAATCTGTTTTCTACAAAAAAAGTAATTTCCGGTGGAATTCTCACAGATGAAAGTTTCTTTTGAATGAACGAATTTAAGAATAATAAGGGTTACCTGTTCATTTGAAGAAATCTTACCATCGAGCAAATTTTTCCATATCAGTAGAATTCTTTGAAACATTTTAAGTCAACAATAACAACGTGGAAATTAAATAGAATTTGAAAAATGGTGTTAAATTCCCACGGCTAATAATGAAATAAGCCAGGTCTAGTACGTAAACTTAATAAAATTCATAGATATCTAAATGCAAATTTGCATTGTTAAGATAAGTGGTGTATAATTTTCTTTTTTACGTGAGCAGTAATTTTTTGTTTTCCGGTAACTCTGAAGCCGGCTGAGGCTGCAACTACCCAACGAGCGTACCAGCCGTCCATAGTAACCTATCTTATGAGAGCGCCATGTAAACACAAAGTTGTCACCGATTTACCATAGCGTTGCTGACGTTTGTGTCGCAGAAACCAACGAAGTTTTGATTTTTCCGTAAAACCGGCTCGGCTCATTTTTCGTTGCTATACAAGGTTGCCAGTATAGCCTTTCTTAAAGTAACATTAAATAATCGAAAATAATGCGTAGTTTTGTTCAACAGAAATGAAAAATAAATGCGTAACTAATTATTTGTTACCATATAGATAATACATATTTGATTTTCGTTAATATTCGAACACATAAATTATGAAATTTGTTGACGAAAATTATGAATTTGTTCAAAAGTGTGCAAACACACAGGCAGCTGGCAACATTTCGCCGCTCTCAGCAGCGTCGATAGCTCGTGTATGTATTTCACTACTAACGTCGTCAGTTATGGACGGCTGGAGAGTGAGTTGGGTAGTTGCAGCCTGACGCGCGCAAAATTTCTTCATTGTCTGCTGTTTCTCTCTTTTCCTGTAATCAGCTGGAAGCGTCTTTAACAATTGGTAAGAAAGAGATAAATTATTGTTAAATTTCGCAACGGAATTGAGCGGCATTTTCACCAGCGGCAATTAAAACGCATCCAGATTTCATTACATTTGCCTATAATCAACTGCTTAACTATTTGTTGCGATATTGTTGTATATCATTTATAAAGTGAAAACCTTATTAATTTCATATATATAAGTAGAAAACTGTTTTTACGTATTGCCGCTGTAATTGAAGGTAAGAAATATACAAAATTGGTCTAATATTGTGCTATTTACGCAGACACGCGCTTTATGCATTTGTTTTGTGTTGATGATTAAGCTGCAGGAATTGACATCATAACATTGAGTAAATATAATATACATCATCACAAAAGTGTATTACAGCTTTTGCTATAATTTTCTAGTAAGTTTTGGACAATAAATGTAAAGTTAGACTACTTCATTCGTCGCGCTGCAGGTAATAGAACTTTATTCATTCGTAGGCAAAGTACAATTTTACTGTGATTTTATGTTTTTCACATAATGCATTTTTTTTTAAATATTGTTTTCCATTTTCCCGATGCATTTTGGCATTGAGAAAAAACGCAAAACAAAAGCATTTACTAAGTACTTATGTATGTACTTATGCATACTTATAAACAGGCACCACTATATGCCCAATATTCAAACAGACAACAAAAAATTATTAATATTTAATCCAATGCATAAAAACCAAAATTAATACAAAAAAGTCGGTGTAATGACCTTCTGGTACATATACATATCTATAAGTATATATGTTTCTGTGAACGCGCTTATTTAATATTCATAAAAATACTTGTTTTCTTTCAATTATTTTATATTCGCATCTGTTTTGTTACACATTCAAATATCGGTATTACATGGTTAAAACAGAAAATGTTTTTTAAAACAATAAAAAATAAAACGTGTGAGGTTCATTTGTATGTGTTAAAAGCTAACGAACTTTGTGTGAAGGCAGTGAACTTCGTCAATTTTTTTTTTCCAAAAGGAACATGTTTCAACTCAATGAAACACATTTTCGCTCATAGAATGTTTTTTTGTTTTCAAATTTCCTCATACCGCATTTATACCAATTTCAAACAAACAAAAAATACCTAAATTTTTAAACGTAAATTCCATTGCTCATAGCCATATGAAAATCTTCGGAGGCTGTTGTGCAAAGCTATTGATATTTTCAAATAATTGTCAACCGTACAAAAAAATTTGCAAAATCTACATTTGGGCCAAAACATGTTCTCTTGAATAGCTTGCCAAAAAAAAAAGTATTTCCACTCCATAAGCGAAAGCCTGCCTCAAGAGCATGATTCGATAACCCCTGTGGGTTAGGGGTTTAAGAATTTACCAGCGGCATGGCATGCCTGTCGTAAGAGGCGACCAAAATCCAATAGTTCTCGCGACAGTCAGTCGGGTCTTTATACTGGATAGACCCGGATTTTTATCCGGGCAAGGACTGTCATTATTTAATTATTGAATCATGCCACAAGAGAAACTTGAGATTATGAAAAAAAATTTAGACCCAGCCTGGAACGCTCGAAATTCTTTTTTCTTTTCTTAATTTTTTGACTGGCCCTTATTTCACGTGTCCACAGAGTATAAGGGATTGCTTACCAATTGTCGTTTTGACAAATAAGTGTTAAGCATTAAGACCTGTGAGAAATTTCAGTGAGAATTTGCTGCTAGTAACGAAATGACGAGACTAGAAGAAGGTTAAGACATTTAGTACATCAATCCCTGCTGAGAGACGAGCGCATTTAGGAAATTTAACTTAATTTTTTTATTTAAATTAATTTTCCATTACTTTGTTGGATGTTAGTATGACAACAGAATTTAAACCCGAGCCTTCCGAATAACATCACACAATGCTAACCGCTCGGCTACCGGGGCCGAATAAAAAGAAAGAATTCTGTGCCAGCTTGTTGACGTCGCACCAAAATCGCTGTTCTCATACTCATAGAGAATTTTCTTTAGGAAACTTTTGCGTTGCATGTAATTATTAGATACCACATTATGCCTGCGGGTTAGAGGTTCAAGAATTTACCCGCGGTAAGGCTTCCTGTCGTAAGAGGCGACTAAGATCCGATAGTTCCCGCAACAGTCGGGTTTTTTATTCCGAATGTCACTCCCGCAACGTTCTCCAAAAAGTTCTGTGGGGAATATTTTTGCGGTTACAACAAAAAAAACAAAAATAACTAAATAAAGATAATACAGCTGGTACGTTCCCATGCCAAATCTAGAGTTTTCTGTTTTTTATTTTGTTTTTATTATATGCAAATGTCTTACGCAACTCATTAGGGAGCGGCCATGAACCAAGTGGTCATAATTTGGCCACTTACGGCCCCCTTGCGCTCTCTATGCAACCTAACATTATTGTAATTGTAATTATTAGTATATAAAAAAATATAAAAAACACCATTAATTGCTTACCACTCTACCACATTAAGCTGTTTCAAATAAAACACTTGTCGCCCTAATTGCAATTTAAATGTATTTATGTATTTTATTTTATTAATTTTTGTATTTTGTATGTAATTTTAAATTTTAAGGCAAGCGTTTACATAAAAATACATTTTGCTTCTAGTACAATTCATATTTTGTAATTATATATTATTTATAATTTTGTTTGTATTTACATAATGTTGAATTTCTTTTAAATTACGTAGTTTAATTCTTTTTTGCTGAAATTCATTTTCTTTGTAAAGCTTTTTTCTTTCAACTTAACTGAACGGTCAACGATTTAGCTCAAATTTGAATTAAGGATAATCCTTGGTACATTGCCTTAATTTATGTGTTGTGTAATTGTTGTACTAGTCTGAATTCCAAACAAAAAACATATGTATGTATATTTAATTTAAAAAATATTTTGAATTTTCTTATACACTTGAGAGAAAATTTTACAAAATTTTAGTAGAAATATTTTTTTTTGAAGGTACTGCGGTACCGTTGGAAATGTGATTTAAAAAAAAAATTGTGGCTATATTAGTTTTTCGGAAGTTCTTAAACAAGTTGTAGTTGTATGAGTTTTTCGGAAGATATTCTGAAAGAAGTCTTGAATTGAAGTCTGAATTCTAATCAAGTGACAAGGGCAAAAGTGAATCCTCTAAAAGTCTATTGGAGAAGAGGTAAAATTATATGTATTTATGTATGTATAATGGCGGTTGCTATGTAAATTTTATTGTATTGTATAAGCCGTTTTGAAGAAATCTTAATTTTTTTTGCTGTAGAGTTAGTGTTTATAAGTTTTTGTTTTTGTTTTGTTTGCTTCTCAATTGGCGGGTTATTGAGTCCTAAAGTCAGGATTTAGATATACTGAGTTTTTTTTTTTGTTTTTTTTTTTACAGTAATTACAATTGACTAACAATTTATCTAAATAAGGCTACAAGCATCGCTGGAATTTTTTATAGGTGCATTAGATAATATTTTGATAATTTTTTTTTACAATTTAGTGTAACAGTGTTTTTGTCTTTAACCGTTTTTTTTTTTTGAGTTTGCAAAGTAAAAGTTGCTTAAATTTGAACGTTTGGGCACAAATTTTCTTAGCATATCAATAAAAATGTTATACGTTTGTAAAGTTACTGTTAAAGGTGTAAATATATTTAATATTAAATTGTTTTTTTTTTTTTGTAAAAATAGTTGCAAATATATGTATGTATGTATATAAGCGTGGCTTTAACTTACTTGAAAAGTAATAATTTTACGAAATTCAATAAATTAAGCTTGTTTGTATATACAAGATATTTTTTGAATTAGGGTTAAACATATAAATTTTTATTTAGAAAGAGTTGCATAATCATAAGATAAGCTTGTAAACATTAAGATAAATTCTTTGGTTTTTTTATTATATATTTTTGCATAAAGTTAAGTCTGTATAAATAAACTGCTGTAACTCGTCGGTTGACAAAAGTATATCTATTTTACAGTACCATCTAAATTTGTGTTTACTACTTTAAATACTTAATTAACAAATACAAGAGACATAGCGCCAAATATAATGTACATATATATATATATGTATGTATTTTTAAATAATATTAAACTATAAAAAATATGGCCATACTTTGAAGTTTTAATTTTTCTGTTCTCATGTATTAAATACTCACTAATTACAAACATAATAGAGCTCTAATTAAGTTGCCAGATGATGTAATTACATATTTTAGTTATACAAACTCTCTCTGATTTCGAATTACACTCACTGCCCGTTGGACTACTAAATCATTTTCTTGCATCGTTTTCCATATCTATGTATGTAGTTATGTATCTATCCCGCTATATACTCCAGTTGTCCTTGAACGTTTGGTTGTCTTGTCGATATATCAACATTTATAGTTATGATTTATCCTTGATTTTCACCTCAAATGTCTGTATCGACACGCATTACGCACAGCAAGCTTCTTCCAACTAAATCATTAGTGCTGAAAATGGATTGTAGCGCATAATTTTCGATAGTAAAATCCATAGCACAGACGTTATGCCGCACAGTACAACACCACCCCAACCCAAATCCAAACTCCATGATGTCAGAAATATGCGTGCGCCCAATAATGGTTTAGCCATTATGGCAACGCCGCCAGGACGCGCCACAATACCATCAACGGTGCCATCATAATCACTATCTAACATGGGGCGTCCTTGTTGACGTTTAAAATGTATAATCATCAGGGTGAAGAGCGCAAAGAGGGCTTTAAGAAAGAAAAAAAAAGAGAACATAATATGAATAAATGTCTACTATTTAAAACACAGTTGTGAGGAATGTATGTATACATAAATAAATATAAGCGCATTTAAAATCCATGTATGTATATAAGTAATAGCTACACGTACACTAATAGTATGCTCAAACCGTTAGGAGGCAGGACATGTTAAAAGAGCCTGAACTTAAGTGGTAAATCCACTCTGTACGTTGAAAAACAGACCCATTTTTTTTAAATTTATTGTACGAATATGAGAAAAGGAATATAATTTCTATTTAACCATTTCATTGCGCATATATTGAAGTATAAAAAATATTTTTTAAGTATTATTTTGTTACAAAATGACGGCGATAAAGTCCGTTATTTAATTCATGTTTTTTGTTTGCAAAGCGTCCATGGGAGCACCGATTTTTTCTAAAGGATGAGACCTAGAATCGAAAAGCAAAAAGTTTTATGATCTTCAAACTATGGTTTTTAGAAGTCCCTACAATTTATATTATAGCTAATATTTGTTTAATTGATTTTTGATTTTTTAGTCACCCACTAAATTAGTTTAAAAAAAAGTTTACATTTAATCGAGAAACGGCTACGTACTTTCAACGAAAAATGTAGTTGTGGAGCTGCCAAAATTCAGTTAAACCGTTGCAATAGGGTCCGAATAATCTGTCCTCTCAGTTTGAAAAATGGGATTTTGAGAAAAACGCTTTTAAAGTTTTTATTGTACTCAGCGCAGGATCCTGAGGGGCTGCAGCAAAATAAAAAATTCAGCTATTTGAACTATTTTTTTTTTACTAGAAAACCAAATGCATATGATTTGAAGGAACGAAAAGTACACTGTGAGCAAAAAAAGAAAAATATTGCATTTTCCAAAATCCTAGAGGGGCTTTACCCCTTAAATGAGTTAAACCGCTTGCTTGAAATTCAATGAGAATTCGGAATACATTTTATATTTTTTCCGATAATTTAGTAGTTTTTTTTAAGGAATGTAGTGGGAGAGACTCTGTATCTAACTTGACCTTGGTAAATGAGGCGGTTTGAACATACATAAGATTCTCAAAAATGTGCTTAGATTTTCAGTATAAAAAATTGCTAAATATTTAAGGAATAAAATACATATGTAAGTGTGTTTATTACTTGTATTTAACTTACCAGCCAGTAAATACATAACTCCTGTAATTAATATTGCGCTTATTTGACGCTGACAGACACCAAATGCCCCCACCAATGCTGCGCTACCCAATATAATAAGACAGACTAGAGAGCAGGAAATTGATAAGTTTTGCATTCCTATAGAATAAGAACAAAATAAATTAATTATGTAAAAGTAATGTGTGAAATAGTAGTTTTTAGTACTTCTTTTATTCCTTATCTTAACAAAATGCTTAATTTCAAGCATATAAATTTGTATATGTATATATGTAGGAGTATATATGTATATATTATGGTGATTGAAGCAAAATATCGAAGTTATAATTTAAGTTTCTAATAGTACCCGGCTGTATTTTGTGCACGGAATGTATTTTTCCCTGGTCCAACTAATCTATATACGGCACACAAGGGCAATGTTAATGGGCCGCCTGAAATGCTGCACTCCGCTTGCGATAACGATTGTCATCAAAGTACAGAGCCACCACAGAATTTTCAAGTCGCTAGCCGAAAAGCTGACTGCTCTTGGCTGGATAAAATCCGAGTTAATCAAGGCTGAAGCGAGCCGGCTGTCGTGAGAATTCCCCGTAACATACAAAAAAAAAATGCTCCGAATTGAACGCCGGCGCGTAGTGAAACGCAAATGAGGAAGCTACTAGCATGCCAGAATACTGTGCTTAGGATCGTGACAATAATTTTTCTAATGTCACCGACGGTTCGCTTACACCGCGCAATAACTATGCTTCTAGATAAGAAGCTTAATGCTTGGCTTTGTACTTACTATCAACTAGGATGCCATTATCGGGATCTGTCAAACAGATATTTTCTTGAGTTCGAAGTTCCACCCAGTCACATCAGTAAGGGAGTACTTGACTACAACAAGTCCAGGCTTTAAACGCCATTCACCGAGAGTACGCCAACACTTTTCTGAACTCTCTTGCTGTGAATGGCGTTTTCGGAATCCAGTATCACCAATTGCAGACTAACAACTCGAGCTTACTTGAGTTAAACTAGGGTGTATACTGTTACAATTAAGAACTGAATATTTGTAGTCGACTCAATGCCTTGCGTACCTCTCTATACCTGACCACGACTTATGCCTGCATGCAGTAAAACCCCGCACGACACTAACAAAATGTCTGCATGCCCCGCTGGTCCAAACCCATCGAAAGAGCATGTTTCCTGGACTTGTCGTTAGATTAATCGTTGACTTAGGCTAGTCTGGTCTGAATTTAGACTTTGACAGCCTCCTTCTTTTCTGCTTCTAAGTGGGCTTATCTAGCTGCTATAACAATAACTGCAATCCCACGGGTTCCTCTATTTTTTCCAACAGAATTTGCTTATTTTGAAAATTTTACAAATAATATTAAAATATTTTTATTATTTTATTTTATCGATTAACCTCGAATACTAATAACAGCTGGATATTCAAGATTCGGTTCCAGCCGAACTTTGTGTATCTTACTTGATTTAAATTATGTGGTGTTCGGTATTTACATTTGTATTGTGTATATTTATGAAATGTTGAAATTATGTACATATATATGTATGTAGATAGGGTTCAAAAGCTCGAAAAAGTGTTGTGCATTGCTTGGCTTCAAGAAAAGCTCGGCTTAAAGTGGCTTAAAATAAGAAAATAAAACGGAAAATGTAGTTGCATTATAAGCTTGAAGCAATTATTGATGAAATTAGGGAAAGACTAGTCATAGAAGAAGATGAAATGAATATTTATTGTTACCAGAATGAAAGGTTGCTTATGGTGTAGTAATGAGTGTTGCAATACTTGATAATTGATATACAGGGTGCTCCATGTTTCATCTCGCTATGTAAACATTGAATAACTTTGAGAAAAAACAACCGATTTCCATAAGTGATGCATTTTTTATTCAGTTTGGTTCCTTACAATTTTTTTCGGACTAGTTTTTGAAAACAATATCAATCAAGTGGCCACCTTTATTGATAATTACAAAATGACTCCTTTTTTGCCTTTGGCAATATCTTTCCGGGCATCTCGGCTGTTATAGCGTCGATTTCAGCACGAATATTTGCCTTGAGCTCATCAATAGTATGAGGCTGGGCGGTTTAAACCTTGCTTTTCAGATAACCCCACAACAGAACAGGACAGAAGTCCGGAGGGTTAAATTAGTTGGTCTGTCAGATGGTGCCTTTGAGTTAACACAATAGAACAACTGTTATCGATGCAGAGTGTCACTATTTCAGCGCGTTGTTTCGGTGTGAAGCGGTCCATGGCAAAAATTGTACTGAATTGACGTTTCCAAAACATATCTGATGCAATCGCTCGGTTGGTAAATGTGAAAATTATTCAGCATTTACATACCGACATAAAAGATGGAGCACCCTGTACATATATATAAAATACCAATTTCAATCTAAAACAATAAATATATTCTGAATCTAAGAGCTACTTCTACATATATCGTTCAGTCTAAAACTGTTTGCTACTCTAGCTACAGAATTCTCTACGTCCAACTAATTATTCAGTAAACATTCGGAAGGCCACGGCTCCAGACCTTAGACTAGTCTAAGTAATCGAATCAAGATATTTCGATGGGCACGGTGCAGAGAGCATGCAAAGAGGTGGTTAGTGTTGTGCGGGGTCTCATTGTATGCTGGACATACGTTGTGTATGTTGGCGTCAAGTTTCGATAGGTAGGAATACAATATCCAGATATTAATAATGCCAATATAACTATGATCTCTCAAGTCCGCTCGAACTCTTGGTTACTAAAGTTGGAGTCGGGATACCTAGAACGTCATTTACAGGAAGAAAGTTCATAAAGATGCCTACCACCAGCGGTTCTTGTATACGGTGCTATATAGAGTCCTATTCTCTAATACCCCCTTCTCGAGGTAGTATCCCAGTAGATATTGCTCACATAACAAAACATTATGCTTTTACGCGCGCTGGACTTTAGCAGAAAACCGGTATCATCTCTGCGGTTCAAAAGTGGAAAAATTTACATGTCTGTTATTTTGTTGTTGTTCTACCGGTTCAGTAATACCTACTAAGAGCAGACTAGATCAGACTTAGGTCATAGAGGTCATCTAACGGGTGGTCCAGGGAACGTGCTGTTTAGCCGGATTCGAACTAGACGGAAAGGTGGGTTAGATGAGTTAGTTCTACGTACCGGTGTTGACACCTTACAAAATCGCTGATTATAAAGACCTGTAACTTGGGGGGTGTACTATGCTTATGATTTAAAAAACCGATCGCATTTATTTTTAAATCTTTCCATTTACATGAAATTTTTTTAAAGGTATAGAATTTCGAACATGGGAAACCAACTTTTTCCGTGAAGTGGACCTGGGAGCGCTCTATTCCAACACCTCCTTCAAGAAATGGATGCTTAATATTTCGAACAATCTTAGCCGCGGTTAATATGTCCTTTTCTTACTGCAAGTGAATCCGGAACCGAACTTTTCGGAGCACTTGTATTTATGGTTCGATTTGCGAGATGCCTGTTATATTGATGGCTCTTTGCCAATGGCAATGTGTGGAGAAATTTTTTCAGAAACTTATCTAACTGAAAGAATAATATTTATGATTCGATTTGTTTGAGATTTGGAACGTTGGAAACTCCTTGTCTGGGCTAATATGTAGAAAGGTCTTTTTTCTTCTTCATACATTTTGCCACAATAGTTGATGAATTATAATAAAAAATTTATTAAAAAAGCTAACAAAAATATTACTAAATCCATATTAAAATTCAATGCCGGTGATGTTGGGGACCAAACTCTCGTTTAAAAATATGGATTTGGGGCCTTGGTGTAAATTTGTAAAAAAAAAATTAAATTATTTTTGTCATCGTGCGTTAAAAATAAAAATTATATTATTTATAAATTGAAAGCATTCTATTAACAATGTAATTTACTGTTATTTAGTTATGAGCAAGTCCTTTGAAAATGTGCTTGATATTTACTGTATAATTAAGATTGCATGAAATGTGGCCATTCTATTAAAAGTATGTAAATATGTCTACATTATTCTATGAATTATGTATGTATTGCTATTTATCTGTGAAGATTAATATATTATGTTTTTTTTTTTAGTGTAAAAGTAAAGTAAAGCATGCAAAGCTACAATAACGGTGTAACTATTGTTAGAAGCATAAATATATGTGTGTATATTAGTAATAGATATAGAAAGAATTGCAGGTACAACCTACGTGATTAGAAGAATCTTGAGTTGTCGCTTATTAAACGTCCAACCGGAGCCTGATATTAAGAAACTTTATAAAATATACTGTCTTACATTTCTTGACGAGATTCTGCTAAATGCATATGTAGCCGATATTAAGTAAAAAAGAAATCTTAGTTGTTATTTTTTTACTAAATCTTAATTAAAAAGTAATGTAGTTAGTTTGGAAAAATTCCAAATTTCTACTGTTACCAATTTTCTAGCAATATTTTTGTTTCATTTTAGTTTCTTTTTAGAATACAATCGCTTCAAGCTTTTAAAATATTAAACAAAATGTCTACCGAGGAACAAACTAGTGTTGTAGAAACTAATGAAGTGGAGGTCTCCAAATCAATTGAAACACCCATCGTTGATCCCAAGGATGTGGAAATCGCTAAGGCTAGTCAAATTACTGCCGAAGCAAGCTCTACCGATGACAAAGTTGGCGACGTTGTCATTGAACAGGAGCGTGCGATGAAAGAGCTCGACGCCAAAGAGTTGTACTGCAACGGTTCACGCAATTTTCTGGTGAAAAACTATAGCGAAGCAGCAGATCAATTGAGTCAGGTCTGTGCGATTTATGAAGAATTGTATGGCGAGCTGTCGGATGAGTTGGGCATGCCATATTTACTGTAAGTTGATTTTTAATTTCACAGATGTGTAAAATAAAATTACAAATTGTTTTTCGTTTTATATTTATTTTTCTTTTATACAATATATATATAATATTATTTATCTTTTATATATATTTTTTTGTATGATTAGATATGCAAAATCATTGATTGCCTTAGCTTTGGATGAGAACAAAGTCATTGATGTGCCTGACGAAGAGGAGCTGGAAGACGACGCCGACGACGACGATGAGGACGAAGCTGCTGATGTTGAAGGCGAGAATGCGCCTACCAATAGCAGCAGCACCAATGGCTCAGCCGCCGTCAATACCTGCTCAAATGGCTCAGCAACGAATGTTAAATTAGATGCAATCAAGGAGAAAAGTGATACTGAGGGCGATGAAAAGGAAGTGAGCAAAAAGAGTGATGAGACTGAAGCTGAATCGACAACAAAAACTGCTGTAGAAAAGAATGAAACTGCTGCTGTCATATCATCGACTGTTTTGGATGACGAGAAACCGAGCACCTCAAATGGCGATGCGGCTACTGGCGAAGATGGTGAAGAGGAAGAGAACGATGCGGTAAGTAGCTCTTGAAGTTAATTTGATTTTCTTCATACAAGTACGTCGTGTTTTTGTGCACTTGAAATACAATTGAAGTGAATTGAATTTAGAAATTGTTGCAAATAAAGCGTGTTGAGCTTGCCAGCCAGCAGCATTAGATAAAATATGCATATCTGCAGGAAATGAATGAAGTAAAGCAAAACAAATAAATTAAAAAGTAAAATTAAATTTTTCCCACATTCTGTTGTACACGAATTACTTATAAAAAATTAAAGCACTTCCTTACTAAAGAAATTACTTTGTATTTAAACACAAGCCCTTCTCCCCCTTTTTTCTACTCTACAATTTTAGGCTTCAAACCTTCAGTTGGCCTGGGAAATCCTTGAGTTAGCTGATAAAATATTCCTGCGGCAAGGCTCTGAAGGTGTATCAAACTTGGCTGAAGTACGAACGGAATTAGCAAATATTGAATTTGAGAATAACCTGCCGGAGGCGGCACGTGAGGATTACGGTGAGAGCAAAAACATTAGCAAAAATTTGATTGAAAGAAATCACATTGTCATTTTTTCTTTCGTCTTTACATGTATGCAGTAAAAGCACTCAAAATTTATGTCGAATTGCCTTCAAAATACCGTCGGGCAATGGCAGAAATACATTATAAAATAGGTCTAACATATTTGATGCAGCAATTGAATAAGGAGGGCGCTGAATCATTAAAGGAAGCTTGTAAATTGATCGACGATGAAATAAAAGAGCTGGAGGCAAGTGAAGAAGAACTCAGTGAGAAACAGAAGAGTAAAATTCAGGATATGGAGGAGACAAAACAGGAGATATGGGCAAAAATCGCCGAAATAGAAGATACACAAGCGCAGGTATGTGAAGTGTTTGAAGCGATTGAATGAAATTAAATAGTCGGGAACTTGTTGCGAAAATAAATTAATAAAATCTTTTCCCTTTTTCTTTGTTTTTTTTTGTTTCTCTTTGCATATTAGAACATTGCTGAAGTACGAGCAGCGCTCGACAGTTATATAAAACCCATTCGTTCAACGGAGGAGAATAATGAGGCTGCAGGTTCATCTGCGTCATCGGGCGCTGGTGCATCTTCCTCTAGTTCAGCAAAACCAACAGATATTTCACATCTCATCAAGCGCAAGAAGCCAGCTGATAACGGTGCGGACGCCGAGATGTCTGCGTCACCAGCTAAACGGCCTGCACTTTAATTTCTTTGCTAGCTTTTACAACATACTTCATTTACTTAAATGACTATTAATTTTCTAGAGGCGCTTTTTTTTATAAATTGAAGACATGAAGCGCACACAAATCTTAAAATAGTATAAGACATAAAGTAGGTTTTTCGTATAAAGTGTGGGTGCCCTAAGAAAATTTTATTTTATTAAAATTTTTAAATTTCTTTTGAATTTTTCTGAATATGGAATCGTATTATATTTTCTGGTTTCCGACGCAAACATTTCAATGTATATTTGAGTAGCCAAATTGCATGAAATCAATCCTAATGGAATATTTAATCATTGTACTGCAATTGTTATTTGCTTTGTATGTTTTGTAATATCCTTTCGTGCAGTGTCATGTTTTTGCCTGTTTCCAGTCACAATTTGAATTATTATTTTTATTACTTATTTAGCTTGCAACCCATGTTCATGAATTTTGACTTTATTTTCTCCGCAAAAGCATTTAGTAGACCTAAGCGGCGTATGCTTATAGATTACATTTTTATATAATAAGTACATACTATTGCTATTAATGTTTATCATGCTAATATTTCCATTGATTATTTTCTCTTAACTTTTCGTTTTAAATTATTTCTACCATCTCGTATTCCGGGTGAATAAAAAACAAAATACGTAGGTTTAAGTTGAAAAATTATAAATATATAAATTAAAACGAAAAATCTTCAAAGAGTTCTTTAATACATAAACAGATGCAAGGAGAAGCATCGTCGAATAAAATACTTTAGAATGGTCAAACTTCAGTGTATATCAAGTTACTAAAACTTGGTATCATATGTATCCTATAGTAAATAATCATGATATGTCCCTTCTCTTTGTCTTTCATACGAACCAGCTATGCGAAAAAGAACGGCTACATATGCATTGGATGGTTATTGCAAAATATCTACGCAATCAATTAATACAGATTAGTCAACTAATGAGTATGCAACGCTTAAAAATTGTGTGCACTTTTGCGTAGTTAAATTGTTGCCTAGAAGATACTCGATAGTACATATGATAGTTGAACTCTAGTTGTAGAGATGAAGAAACAATTTTTATTGTACACGGCATAAAGTTGTAGTAGTTTAGTGAAAGTACGCATTTTATACGTGTGTATTTTGTGTATTTGTGGCCAATTATAATAAAATTTTTGTTACTGGAATTGTTGATTTTTATATATTTATTTATTTTCAAAATTTTGTTTTTTGCTAGTTTACTTTTGTGATTATGAATACACATAGATTGTACCATACGTACTTAAATGGGGCTGCAATGAGGTCTGGGACTCACTATGTTGCCAATCGTTACGTTGCTCTTCACCTCGTGCGTTTTCCATCGATCCAGCCAAGTAGTTGACACAGGGTGGAGCGCCGCGTGGGAATTTCGGATGTCGTCGTAACTCTTGTAGTTCTTGCATTGGCAAATCTATACACAGCGTCCAAATGCCACCGTGCATGGGCACTAAGAAAACCGTTTCTCGGCGAAATCGATATTCTGCTGTAATTTTATAGAATGAAGATTAAACATACATACAGACATATATGATGATTGTAACGCTAAACAAGAGAAAAATAAACAAAATATTGAAATATTACCGAATGTGCTTTAATAATTTCAGAAGTGGAAATAGCCTAAAATTAGCTCTGAGCGTCTGTAGGAATATAATATATATCCTCTGGCAAATAAGTCGTGAAAAAGTATTGAGGATGCATTTATAATTTCAGAAGTGGAATATGATTAAATTCAAATTTTGTAGGTATATATTACCTATGACTAAGTTCATTATGAGTTTATCAGAGTTTTGTCTCTCTGTGAAGCAGCGCAAGGAAGTAGGTTTAATATGAATTTCTTAGTTTATTAGATTTGAGACACAAACATTGATAAAATAAAATAAAATGTTAGATCTTAATTTGGTTAAACATTTTCGGGTGCAATAGACGAGTAGTTATCATTTCGTACTAGATGAAATAAAAAATTCCTCATGAAAATACATCCTTCGTTAGGAGGTTGTTGGTTGGAAAAAACATCCTTCGTTAGGAGGTTGTTAGTTGGAAAAAAACATTAAAACGTAAAACACGAATGGGAGGAGAAAATGCTTAAATACAATATAGGTTTGATGGAACCCCGTTATGAGGAGTTTGATATTTTATAATACGGCAAGTTAAAATATAACAAAATTAACTGGAAAATTTTCACTATTATTACTCAATGTCATGTTCCACTTAGTTTTCGATCTTGATTTGTATCAAATTACAAACTCAGACCTGCGCTTACTGACTTGAAAGTGGTTAGCTCTTCGAGTTTTACATACCTTTCTTATCGGGCTTCAGCATCGCCACCTTTTCGTCCAACATCCACTCCAATTGCATATTTGATCGATTCGTATACCTATCCAAACTATTTCGATCCCAAGTAACGTGTTCCCAATGATCAGTCATAATGGCAGCGCATAACATTGCCGTCGCACTGGTAGTCATCAGCAATGTCACAAACAGAAACAGCACTGGTGGTGGGCCAACACAACAGTTAGAACAACAAGCCGATGCGCCTGAGTTGCTACCCATATCCATGGCCGAATTAAGTGACGTGGGCGTATCAAGCCCACCACCGGTGCCGTCGTTTTGGTTCAGCGCCTTAGCGCAACTACTATTCCGCAACAGTATGCTGTTGCTACGCCTTAAACTCTCAACAGCCGCTGCGGCGGCTGCAGTTGTTGCTGCGGATGGATCGAATTGAAATGGAGAATTATGCCCCACAGCTGACGGATGTTCATAAATGCTGTTATGGCGACTGGGCGCAAAGTAATAGCACGTTGTTTGTGTGTTATTTTTCGTATTGAAGTTGTTGTGGCCGTTGCCAATGCCAAAGTTACCGCTACCACTGGTTGTACCGCCACCAACACCATTGAACCCGCCCAAGTTATCGCCGTGCTCATTGATTGCGCTCAAGTCCTCATTGCTGGATGTGTACAAAATTGATTGGGCAAATTGATTTGAGTAGCAGTTCGGTTTGAAAACGGAACTTCCTATTTGAAAATTACTTGTCGGCTGGTGGTGGTAATGGTGATTGCTGCCACTCGTTGGTTTGGTCGCCTGCACGTATAGAGCTTCGTAATCGTAATGATGCGGATTCCTATAGATAACTGGCCATGAACGAGTTGTCTTAGAGTTGTGACTGTAGGTTGTGGTGGTGGCGGTGGCGGCAGCGGCTGCAGCCACAACCGTAGGTGGAGGCGCCGTTGGTGCAGTCGGTAAGCTGGATTGCTGAACGTAGATGTTTGGCGGATTGGCAACGTCGACGGTAGAGATGATGCTGGCTGCAGATGTGGCAGGCGATAAGCCGCCACCGAATTGCGATGTTGCGGCTAAACCAACGCTAGCCGTTGGCGAAACAGAGGCGGCTATCGCTGTACTATAAGAACGTTGCGTTGAACTGGCGGTATTTGTATTTGAAGAGGGGGTTATTGCGATTGGACTGTGATTGGAGTGTAGTGTTATGTCATCCGCTTCTACCAACGGCGTCAATTCAGTGGGTTGGCTCTCTTCACTTGTTTGCGCCGTTAATTTCTGTTCTAATATAGTTTCTGTTGGACTCAGCTGTTCCAGTTGCTGGTGTGTCGCCTGTTGGCGTTGTAGTATATTTTTCGTTGGCGCGTCAATTGTTTGTCTTGACGTTGTTTTGGTGGTCAATTTCAAGGGTAGCGGCAACTTGCGTACCGACTCCTTGTCGATGCCGATACCTGTGCCTATAACGGCACTGCCGTTGGCGGTTGTATGTGGACTAACACGCACTTTGCCGTTTGCGTTCGTCGCTATCACAATGGTCGCCGTGGGCACTGCCGTCAATTCATTGAAGTCCTCTTCCTCCACCAGTGTGGCTCCTGATGAATAAATGTTGTTAGTGTGTTTACTGCGTTGTAGAAAATATTTACTGTTACTAGTACTATTATGGCTGTTGCTATGGTTAATGCTGTTGTTCTTATTATTATTGTTGTAATTGTAGTTGCTATAGCAATGGCTGTTGCTCCTGTTGCTACTTGCCTTGACTTTCGATTTCTTATGCGATTTCTGTTGTTGATGTTGATGTTGATGTTGTTTTTGATCTTCTTGTGGGTGATATTTTTGTTTTTGGTTTTGGTTTTGTTGTTGATATTGTTGATTTGTATGGGGTTGTGTTGCTGATTTTGATGCCAGTTCTGCGGATGTTTGATGATTGGCGAATAGTTGTTTTTGGTTTTGATGTTTCTCTTGTAAATGTGGATGTGCCGTGGTTGTGGTGATGTTGGTAGTTTTGCTGTTTGTTGTCACTATCGCCGGCTGTGGCGATGGCGTCGTCGGTGTTGATGATATTGATGGCGATGAGGATGGCTGTAATTCATGATAATGCCCATTAGTCGGTGAGGTTATGCTTACTTCTGGTACGCAGCGCGCAGTCACCTTGTAATGACTGCCACCGCCACCAACGCCCAACCCCACGCGCGTCTTTACCAGTCATAAGTCCGTGTCGCGCTTCTTAATCTTATTGAGGCTCATACTTTTGGGTCCGGTGGTGTTCGCTGTTATTGTTGCGGTGTGTGTTGTTGTGGGTTTTGTCGAAATGTTTGGTGTTGTTTCGGTAATTTTTTCGTGTATATTTTATGTGACTCAATAGAAGGTTCGTTTTTGATGCTTTAGTTTAAATACGTGTATGTGTGAAAGTGTGAACTAGTTACCGTTAGTCGGAGGTAATGAGTTTAATGTGATGAAAAGATGAAAATCATGTGCTTTGAGACCTCTTATTTCAGTCTGGTGTTAAATACAAGGTGTAGTATATGTGTATATGCGATTGTTTGCCCAAAAAATACTTTAATATTTACTTTATATGTGCTTATTTCTTGTGTGTGAGTGTGTGTGTGTGTGTGTGTTCACTCGGCGTTTTGTGTCACTACGATAAATTTCCAATATCACTACAAATTACGGTGTTTCTTTATTTTTAATCTAATATTGTGTGTGCATTTGTGTGTTGTTTTCAGCTTTATCAGTGTGTGTGTTGGTGTGTGGTGGTGTATGGTTATGTTGTGTTCTCTTGAGTTTAAGCTTTTCAACTACAGCGTTTGTTATTTTTGTTAGTTAGCATCAAGCTAAAAAATGGAAAGAAATGAAAAAGTAGATAGAAAAATTAAAGTTAGTGATTTGTGAAAGCTATGAAAAATATCTTCACTCACTTAACTATAGTTAAAGTAGTCAAAGGTATGTATGTATGTGTGTATGTGCATACATATGTATGTATGTATGTATATACACAATTCCTTTAAACAGTGCAGTGTTTCTCAAAAGAGTATATAATATATATATATACATATATGTGTGAATAAATAGATTTACAAAATTAAATTTAAGGAGACGGCAGACGGCGTGCATTGTGTTTTACCGTTTTGGGTGCAGAGAGACACAAGAGACACATACATTTCTGTTTACGTGTATATTTATACTAATATTATACATAAATATATTGCAATAATCCAGTACACAAATAACAACACTAAAATTTTAACAGTTATTAATTCAATACGGAAATATAATACCAGTAATACAGGGTTAACCATTATGTGGTTAAATAAAATTAAAGAAATTAATTTTTTTATAAAGTTTTAATTTTTGAAAATTTCATTTCAATAATACTGGGCTAACCATTTTGTGGTTTCGAAAATAAACATTAATACCAATAAAACAGGGTTAACCATTTTATGGTTTTAAAAATAAACGTAAATAAAATAAAAATGATTAATTTTTTTTATAAAGTTTCCTCATTTCAATAATACAGGGCTAACCATTTTGTGGTTTCATTTTATTATAGTACACAAATAACAACACTATAATTATAACAGTTTTTAATTCAATACGAAAATATAATATCAGTAATACAGGGCTAACCATTTTGTGGTTTCGAAAATAAACGTTTATACCAATAAAACAGGGTTTTCCATTTTATGTTTTCGAAACAAACGTAAATAAAATTAAAATAATATTTTTTATAAAGTTTCCCAATTTCAATAATGCAGGGCTAACCATTTTGTGGTTGCATTTTGTTATAGTACACAAATAACAACACTACAATTATAACAGTTTTCAGTTCAATACGAAAATATAATATCAGTAATACAGGGCTAACCATTTTGTGGTTTCGAAAATAAACATTAATACCAATATAACAGGGTTTACCATTTTATGTTATCGGAAATAAACGTAAATAAAATGCATATAAAATCAATTTTTTTCATTCAAAGGACAGCCTCGCAAATTTTTACAAGCTTTGATCCTGCTTCTTCTTCTTATTTACAGGCTTAGCCACCGCTTACCTAATTTTTTCACTGCTTGGCCGACAATTGATCTTTTTCTCCTGATTGGAGCTTTTCCTCTTTCTCTGCTTCCATCGATGGTTTGAGACAATTTTCGATCAATTTTAGGACATATTGAGCGGTATCTCAGCTATAATTTGATGCATGTTGGTTTTTAAATGCTCAAGAGTTAAAGATTTATGCACATTAAAACGGTCTCAAAAAGAAACTGCAAACAGTGTCATATTTCCCGATCTCGGGGACAGACGAGAAACTTCTCTATATACTAGGCCCAATTCCCCAGCAAACTTTGAGGCAAGAACTTTTTGTTTCCTACCATTTGCTGTAAAGGGTTTTCCAATAAGAGGTGCTATTTTGAATATCTTGCTACTCCGGTATATGTCATGTTTAAAGTGACGGTGTATGGATTGAGCTATCGATAGATGATAAATGATTTTTTTTTAAGGCCGGAATTGCATCGTGTTGATCTGGAAAACGTTTAATTTCAACAAGAGGGCGCTACGTGCCCAACAACCACGAAACAACCGATGTTTTAAGTGAATTTTTTCTTTGAATAACGAAACATCGTCTTATTGTGTGAGTGTGCATATTCTCAGGTTGGCTGTGAAGCAATAAACTAAAAGTGCCTGGTAAGTAGATGTTAAACTCGGGGTGACTGGTACATAGTCGAAGGCTTGCAGTATTGCATGCTTAGGTGTTTACCAGCACCGGGAACTACTGAAAAACGCCAGCACCTAAGTGGTGTAAGCGCGGCTTATGAAAACCACAAGGAGCACCCCGTTGTTCCACAAATTTTGAAAAGCCCAAGCACTCAAGTTGCCTTCGTGACAAACCGAATGGTCACCCCGCACCATCTTCAAATCTCTCACCCCCAGCTCACCCCCAATAATTTCACAGTATTAAAGGAGGATGGTTATCCTCACCACCGCTTATTTTTATTTAGAGGCTCACTCCTGAACTCTTTTAAGAGCCAAAATTATGTATGAATACATAAATGAGTATCACATATCCAGATCTCCCCCCTCCTAACCATAATCCTAAGCTTAACAGTAGGCCAAAATCAGCAGCTTTCAAACGAACTCAACGCTCTGAATTGACAGTGAAAGTCTCTCCGTTGTCGTTTTCAACGAAGTGAGGTCCAATCACACCTCTTGACCAAAGAGTGCACCAGACAGTAAGTTTATTTTTATGGTGTAATGGCTACATATCCCCCGAGTGAGAAATGTGCCTCATCACTGAAGAAAATTTTGTTGGAAAAATCGCCAGCCACCATCCGGCGTTGTGAATGGTCAGTGGTTGGCTTCAGTTGTTGTGTGAGCTATCATAGTTTTTATAGGGATGTTGGATCAAATGCAAGTGCAAATATCTCCATAAGGTGTCTTATAACGGTCCCAGCCCTTGACAACGTCGAGACATAAACTCATTCGGGCCTTTGGCTACACTTTTACTTAGAGTAGCGATATTGCTTGAGTAGTTGGACGATTATGTGCAGCATAAACTGCTTTTAAAGCCCGAAACCACGAAATAGATACCCTTATAAATTTGATATATCCATGAAAGGTTTAGAGTTTTCAAAAGCTCTTCTTTCTTATTTTTAATTTGTATGTATGTATATATTATATGCACGCGGCTGTTTAGCTACAGTTGACCAATGTATAGAAATAAGGTCAAAATATTTAAAAAAAAATAAAAAATAATAATAATTTTATTTTTCAAAACTTTTAGTATTCATTGAAGATTATTTAGCGGCAATAAATGTGTCCGCAAACCAGCAGAACAACTCAAATTGACAATAAAAAATGTAATAAAAAATAAAATAATAGAAATTTCAATGTCGTACGATGAGCGAAAAATAGAATATAACGAGTGTGGTGAGTATAACAGATGAATGGCAGAACAAATTGTTACAATTGGATTATACCAACACTATAACCTTGACTTGGTCTCGTTTTATGACTTGCAAGCTGTGTCGGAAGTGATTGTTGTTGCTGCTATGCACACCTAACAAACTCAGGCAAACAAAGTTGCTTCGACAAATAGAACTCATGCTCTGTTGCTTACGGTTAAAACATTAAAATGGTGGAGTTGATGGCTCCCAAAAGCTTTTTTTGTAATTTTTCTTTTTTAAGAGACATTTGCCAGCAGCGACATGTGCTCGGTAGTTTGGTAGTTTACGTTTGAATCTGCACTAGTATACTAGAGAAGGATGAGCCCTTTTTAGATATATATGGCTGACACCACGCGATGCTACGCTAGAACCGAGCAATTACGATTCGCAAACGTTGTTCCGGGGCAAGTCTGTTTATTATGAAATGGCAAATCAAACTCTTTATAAATCAAATCACAGCTGTTTGAAAGGCTTCGGCATTGTCGTTGAAAATATCACGCTTTACTCGCATATGCTTTTGGCAAACAGTATTTTAATCGCGGCTACCGCTTTGGCCTAAACTTGAACATTTAAAGCGTTCATTTGGTCCTGTAAGCACTCAAAGTTAGACAAGTCCAAAAAAGCCAGCTCAACCAGTGCTCATTGGACCAAGACCATCAATGTCTCTCGCTGCAAAAGTCGATCCTAACGACCTCTGTTCATTCCCCATATTTTGTTGGTTTATTATTGCAATATTTTTTAAACTCTCAACCATTTCTCTTCTGTACATACATACACAGATGGCTAACTTGGGTATAGCAAAGTGAAATTTAATTTTGCACAATCATAGAAACAAGAGAAAGAGTTTTGAAATAAAATTCTGCTAAAAGAAAATACACATGTCAACAAAATCATTTGTGTACACAACAGGAAACAATAACCAAAACCAGATTTGATTAAATTTTCCAAACCTAACCACAAACAAGCATTTCAGCAAGAAGCTAAATGCCATCCGTTTGTAGGTTATATACTCGTACGAGGTATGACAATTAAGTATTATTTCAAAATTATTCTACAACTCTGTCATCACCTTCAAAGTAGGCTCCTTGAGCAGCTATACAACGATTCCAGCGCGCTTTCCATGCTTCGTAAACATTTCTGAAACTCTTCGACTGTGATGTAAGCGATTACTCAGAGTCACGGCCGCATGAATGTCCTCAATTGACTCAAAATTGCTCCCTTTGACCACCGATTTTGTTCTAGGGCACAAAAAAAGTCACAGGATGACAT